ACCCGCGGCACTCGCGGCGTCACAGCCTCGGTCGCGTTTGGCGTTTTGTACGGCGTGTTGTACCTTCATTTGTGGTCGGTTTGTGCTCTCGTTGCAGCTTTGATTAGCCTGTCCTTTGGGGGAGCAGTCGGACTGATGTTCTTGATGCTTGGATGTGCCCTTCCCCAATACAAGTAAGGTGCACTCTCTCCCTATTGTGTGTTTCTTTTCGCGTGTTTCTAGCTCCAGACTAGTTTCGCTTTCTTCATAGTGGATTGCTGAGGCCTCTCGGTGTAGGACGGCTCTTGGGTTTGGAGGTGGTTTTTTGCTTCAAAAGATTGGGGTGGGGAGAAAACGACCATCCGAGCACTTAATTCACCCTAACAATGGTGTGAATTGCAGTTCACGACTAGAATTGTTATGCCAACTTTCTTTTGTTGTGAAGCCAGGGCCGGGGACACCAACCCTTGGAAAGGAGATCATTGTGCATTTGCCTTTCAAACAGAGCGATAAAGTTTTATTGAAACAATGTGCACCTGCATTTCTGTGTCTGAGAAATCCAGTCTGGTGAGCTGCAGGCAGTAACAGTAAGTGTTGCCAGATGTGGGGGTGCAGTTTCTGTAGGTGTCTCTGGCTGTATTCAGATTTAATGATGTGAAGACCAAGTGTTGGTTCCCTCGGAGGCTGAGTGAGGGCCCAGAGCAGTGCTCAGTGCCATGAGTGTGCACTCGGGGCTCATGGGCAGAGTGATGTCAGGGCTCTGCAAAGACGTTTGCAATTCTTAAGCACAGCTGGCAGGATAAACAGAGGAGCTAAGCCTGCCTTGTGTGCTGGCGTTAGATTTAGGCTTGGTTAGTGAGCTCTTGCTTTGTGGATATCCTGTTAGTGAGCTCTGCTGTGGTTGAGGTCAGCCAAAGCCACTCACAAACATGGTCTGTTGGATTAATGTCAGCTTGTTCCAAAGTAAAGGATTTGCTTTCCCTGGGCTTGTGTCTGTTTTTCCTGAGCGTGGGTGCTGGATGGGCAGAATTCCTTGCGGTGATTTTCAGAACAGGGAGCAAATCAAGTTGACTTAAACTTTTCTTCTCCTTACTTTTCCAGCCAGTACTGGCCACTGTTTGTTCTGTTTTTTTACATCCTGTCTCCCATCCCGTACTGCATAGCAAGAAGATTAGTCGATGACACAGATGCTACAAGTAATGCCTGCAAGGAGCTGGCGATATTCCTTACAACAGGCATTGTGGTCTCAGCATTTGGGCTACCCATAGTGTTTGCAAGAGCAGAACTGGTTAGTAACACTTCAACCTGTCCTTGTCTTTTTTTCTTTTTCCCAGAAAACTTTGTTCTTTGTTTATGTTTTTTTACTGAAGGTAAAACTCTTGCACACTAAACTCTTATAATTGCGTACTTAAGGCGCTTGCAGTGCAAACAGGATAAGAGTTGTTTTGGCAAGCAAAACTAATACAGAAACAGAAGCATGGCAGAACATCGTGATTGCCAATTGCTTTACGTGGTCATGGGATAAACCCTAACAGCCTGCATGCAATGCAGAGAAAATGAGATAGGAAATACTGTGAAAACTTAACAGGCAAAAAACCAAGTATAACAGTGTAAAGAATACTCTGAAGGCAATTTGTGGAATAGTTGGGCTAACTAAGCATAAACAAACAAAAAGAAACAACCCCCAAAAAAAACCCAGTGCATTTTTGCATTCACAGTAGATGATACTGGTGTTATTTTCTTAAACTTCTGAGTTCTCATTGCATCTTCCCCAGTATGTGGCTTTGGACTGGAATGTATTAAAACATCATCTTGTTGGTGTGTTTCAAAAAAGCACTACCAAGTCAAAGCCCTGAGAGTGCACTCGTAAAGCTCAGTCAATTTGAATGCCCTTAAAGCATGGCTGGCAAGTTCAGCTGGGCTCCTGGTGTGTTTAATGCTGTTGATGTTGTTGCCTAGCCTTACTTCCTTATTTTTGGGTGTCACACCAGAACAGCTGTGCCTCCTAGCCAACGCTTCAAGTATGGCTAGAAGAAACGCAGTGCAGCCTGTCTGGCTGTGAATCAGTCAAGTCATTTTGGGTAAACCCAGCCTACCCACAAATAATGAGATACCACGTTCTTGCATCATGGACACATTCCTGAACTTTGTCTAGAAGGGGACAGTAAAATGTTGCCTTTTGTTGTGTCAGTATTCGGTTCAACACGTGTCTAACCAAGATTTCCTTGTTCACAGATTTACTGGGGCGCATGTGCACTGGTTCTCACGGGGAATACAGTCATCTTTGCCACAATCCTAGGGTTTTTCTTGGTCTTTGGCAGCAACGACGACTTCAGCTGGCAGCAGTGGTGAAAGGAGGATAAGAGAACTATCACAGGCATCTTGTCATGCAGCGGCCATCCATACAAGTGAGAGAATGGGCAATAAAGAGAAGTAGCGTAGCAAGCCTCTTGAGTATTCTAGATGCTCCTTTTCACATTGTTCATTCTGAGTGTACTACTGTTGCTGGCAGAGTTTCTACGTTTTTATGAAGTGGAGAGATGGTTGATTTCGTTTTACCTATGGTATGTTTTTAGGTGCTCTCTTGGTTTAAAATTGTCATCCTTCTGTCTAGTGTTTTATGTGAAGCTTTAAATCTGGAAAAAGAACCTGGTTTCAAAGAAGATTTAAAGTCGGGGTTTTATGTTGGGGTATTTGTTTATTTTGGTTTTAAGTTAAGCATTAATACTATGTTTCTATTTTTTTTATACTGGGATTAAATTACATATAAGCTGAATGGAGGTAAGAGATTGTCCATCACCATTGTCAATTACCAGATCAATAGATTGTTGCTACATTTTAGCAGAGGCAAGGGGAGGTGGAGAGTACCAGTTGCAGATTTTCTTCTGCCCATACCTCAAACTGGGTGATGAATGTTGATAGCCTTCATTTCAGGGGAAGGCTGAGGAGCAGGTAGAGTTATTTGGGAAAAAAGTCCTAAATTTTAATACCGCTAGCACTTTTACCTGCTTTATCAGTTCTGTGGGTGTGACATTCAAATACTCTGTAAATGTATTGATGATGATATACAAAACTAAAGTGTATTGTAGGGGAAGGGAAAATGATGTTTAAATTCCATTTTTAAAAAAAAAGGATCTTTTGAACTCTTTCTATTTATAAGTATTGTATGGGTTTGAACTTCTATGTCAGCTTTTTACCACAAAGATGGTAAAATGTTCATTTATGGAACTACTGGTCTGTGTTAATTTGAAGCATATACAAAGCTATTTCCTCCTCCCCCTTTTTA